CCAAGACATGAGATTTCGCTACAGGTGTTCGACATATCGACCGTCTTATGGACAGACGGGACCGTTTTTGAACGTTTCTCGCGGAATTCATTGAATTAGTAGGGGTGAAAGATACCCTCGCATAACCGCTTCGAACCATAGGATTAACAATTTAAGGGATATTGGCATTTGCCTGATTTTTCATTGTTACCTGTTTAATTTTAATTTAAAAAATAGTCAACTAGGAATTCACCACCCGGTATATCTATACTAATATATAAAATCCTTAAGTGACTGACATACTGATTAATCACGATCCTGCTCAAACCACTCAACGTAAGAAGCTCAATTTTGGCATACAGGTTGATTCTAGGGTGTAGAGGTTCGATAAGAAGGGATTTTTTGAAATTCCAAGAGGGTGAAACCACCCCTCAAATATTACAATATTTTTTATTTAAAAAACGGTCAAGTTTCCGAAAAAACACAAACAGGTATATTTTATTTTGCTTTTTTACATATTTTAAGATTTTTTAAAAATGTATACAGGGTGTTTCGAAAAATCTGGTCATTGATTAATCACGATCCTGCTTAAAGCGCTTGACGTAAAAAACTGATTTTTGGAAAACAGATTGACTTTAGGGTGTAGAGGTTCGATAAGAAGGGATTTTTCGAAACTCGAGTTCTAAGGGGGTGAAACTATCCTTCAAATATTAAAATATTTTTTATTTAAATACCGGTGAGTTTTTCGGAAAAACTCTTAAACACGTATATTTTATGTTGTTGTTTTACATATTTTAAGATTTTTATAAATTTATACAGGGTGTTTCATAAAATATGACCATTGAGTAATCACGATTCTGCTTAAACTGCTTGACGTTTAAAGCTGATTTTTGGCAAACGGATTGACTGTGGGGTGTAGAGGTTCGATAAGACGGGGTTTCTCGAATCTCAAATTCCAAGAGGGTGAAAACGCCCCTCAAATATTACAATATTTGTTATTTAAAAAACGGTTAGTCTTTCGGGAAAACGCTTGGACAAGCATAATTTATTTGTTTTTTTTTACATATTTTGAAATTTTTAAAAATCATACAGGGTGTTCCAAAAGTTGGGTAATTTCTTAACCACGATTCTGCTTAAACTGCTTGACGTAAAAAGCTTACTTTTTTGGCAAACGGATTTTTCGAAAGTCAAATTCTAACGAGATGAAACTACCCCTCAAATATTAACAAGTTATATAATAATATCGCCATATTGTTTTTTCTCGTGCTGACATAAATGTGAGAAAATTTTATCCAGTTTGTATGTTAATGGAAATTCTTGCTTTGCTTTATCATCACCATTACAAATGATTAATTCGACGCGAACGAAGTCGCTGGTACACGGTAGTATTCATGTAAAACTGGATCTAGTAATAAATAATAATTTGACAGATAATATATGTCTGGCTTTTAAAACACACTCACTCTTTTAAATAATCTACTATATCCTTTCTATTTAAAAGCGCAAAAATAATTTTTATTGCTAAATTTTATGAGCTACTAATAGCCGCTTAATGTTTCAACATTAATTTTAATTAAAACATTTTAGCATCACTCAGCAACAGTCCATTTTACGTTCTAAATTTTATTTACTACTTATACATAGTTAAATATTTTTGCATAATAGTTTTTTTTTTTTTTTTTTCAAGGAACAAAAACACAAAAAATTAAATGTATAATTTATTTTTTATTATAATATATTATATAGATTTATATAAGGGACAGACACAGAACACGAACATATGTACAAATAAATAAATTATTTTGATCATGTATATATAATATGGCACTTATATAATAAACATATAACCTATAGAAGCATAGTTATCACAAAAAAGTTCGGCAACGAAAATTTTCACATAAAAATTTCCCTCTACTATTTACAACAGTTGATTTAACAAGTACCTAATAATTTACATAAAATAATAATTTTATTTACAATATTTACATTTTTACAAATTCAAAAAATTGTTTCGGAAAAACTAACTTAAACTAAGTATTGTAATTAACGTATTGGATAATCAAAGAGAAATAATAATCTAGACAAACTATCAATAAAAATAAATCGCAAATATACAGGGTGCCTATTAATGACATGTAAATTTTCGAGATAGAGGGTGGTAATTTTTTCTAAAATGTTTTTTTTTCATAATAACTCTGACGTTATTACAGATATCTTTATGAAATGATGCATCTTTATTTTTCTAATTATTTTTTTCTATTTTTTATTTTTTTATTTTCTTTATTATTTTTTTTATTTGTTTATTATTTTTTTTATTTTTTTATTATTTTTCTCTTTACTTCGTGCATCGAGATTCATAAAGATATCTATAACTACATCAGAGTTACTACGAAAAAAAGTTTTTTTGGAAAATCCTACCACCCTGTACCTCAAAAGTTAACATGTTTAGTACATACATTTATATGAAGTTTGCTTCTTACAATAGCCGCAAGAATCGGGAACCCTGTATAAATACTGTAACATGCACAATAACAAACATACTTATTGTCTTATCAAATGTTGATTAAACAATAACTTTAACAATTTTAACTCAATAATTAGCGTAAAAGAAAAACAAAACTAATAAAAAGTCAAAATTGCACTTAAAAATAAAAATATCTGTTTTATGTAAAAAAACTACTGGTTTGAAAATTACGGAGACCAAATTCAAAAAGAAGAACTCATTTATATTCTAAAAAAAACAAAACTATCTAAAATAATCAAATAAACTTAATTTTAAAATAATAATTTAGACTTAATTTTATTCTATGCTAGTGAGATATACCTCATTATATTGCCTCGTATATAATACAATATGATCGAGAAAAAGGGGCTTATATTGGGATTGACATCGATCGTCATTTCAAAGCCAACCAGGCACCGTTTTTTTCTCGATCATACGGTATTTATATATAGAGCCCTTCGTTCAAAAAACCTAATTTAATTTAATTTCTTATTGTCTAAAAAAAATATAAAAAAGTAAAATATAATAAATTATAAAAACCGTAAATGATTAAAAAAATATTGCATCAGTAAAATTAATAAAATAATCTCAAAGTCTCAAATTACTTGTTTTTGTCAATCCAGTCCTGTATAGATCAAGATATCATCAAATGCAAAAGATTCATAACTTATTAGTATATGAGTATCATTTATTTAAAAAAATTATTATGCTGTAATAATTTGTCATCTGTGGGGCTATACAGGGTGGTCCGAACTGTATTCCGGAAACTTCGGCTGCATATTCTGCAAATAAAAATAAGTAAAAAAGTTCGTATAAATATATGTCCTAAGATGCTTAGTTTCGGAGATACAGGGTGTAGAAGTTTCATTTTTATTTCGATTTTTCTCAAATAATTTCTGAAGTAACGTCAATATTTGGATGACAATTGGTGTCGGGGAGTTTTTTGGCATGAGAAATTTGATTTTGATGTCAATACAACTCCTACTTGCAGAGGGCGCCACCTATATATGTTTTAACTGGTTTAAAGAGTAATAACTTTTCGTCCGTACCGGTATAAAAGTACTGAGTAAAAGAATATACATTTACGATGTTTACAAATGTACCAAAAAATATTTTTACGTAAAATGTCCCGGAGATGTATATTTTTATCACTCAATAGTTTTATACAGGTACGGACAAAAAGTTATTACTTTTCAAAACAGTTAAAACACATGTAGGTGGCGCTCCCTACAAATCTGAGTCATATTGACACCAAAATCAAATTTCTCATGTCAAAAAACTCCCAGACACCAATTTTCATCCAAATATTGATGTTACTTCAGAAATTATTTGGAAAAAATCGAAATAAAAATGAAAATTCTACACCCTGTATCTCCGAAACTAAATAAGCATTTTAGGACATACATTTATACGAACTTTTTTACTGATTTTTATCTGCATGCAGAATATGCTGTCGAAGTTTCCGGAATACAGTTCGAACCACCCTGTATATCTGGCTCCCTTGTTGATTTTAAAGTGATTTTTGTGTGATTTCTGTAGTAAATTTCTGTGTTTCTGATTTGTATCAATCTTAATATTTTCTAAGATCAATACTATGGGTAATGTACTTTTAGAAAATATAAAAAAAAATCGAATATTTTTCCTGCTAAATTTGCTCTTTGTATATAGAGTAAAAAATGTGGGATATAGACTTAAAAAATTAGTGTCTAAATACCCCCAGTTTATCAGAGGTTATACTGTAGTTTATGAAGAATAAAAAAAATTGTCTATTGGTATTTTTGTAAAACACTATACTGACAAATACTATTTCCGAAGTTTTTCGTAATTTATCAGTATATGAGTCTCATTTTCCTATTTTTTTTTTCTTTTTTGTTTTCCTTTTTTTTGTTTATTTTTAATTTTACTTCATCATGTTTATGTCACTTTGTAGAATCTTTTACAGCACCATTCTGCATACACAAAACAGTAATGTACTTTTAGAAAATATTAAAAAAAAATTGTGATGGTTGGATTGAAGGCCTGGAGGTTTCGAGAACATAACATATAAAAAGATTGTGTAAACACTGACTAGCACAAATAAATACAACATACTGTATACAATTAACTAACTCTACAAATACGTACACCTATAAACTAACTTGAATACATTTTATAGAGGGCGAAGTCTTAAATAAGTGCAACTATTTTTAGTTTTTTTTTTAATAAAATTTGTTATTTTTGCAAAAAAAAAATATGCAGTATGTCTCCGGATTTTTTTTACAAGAATTAAATAACAAAAAAGTTTCTCCTCTTGTAAAGACAATCCGGGGACATGCTGTATATTATTTTGGACATTAAAATGATTTGAAAAACAGTAAAAATATAATATATTTCTTTTTCCGAGAGAAAATACATAAGACTCACCTTGTATACGATTTTTTTTTGCTAAATGTGAAGTTGCCTCTATTTGATACCAATTTAATTTATTAGAGCGTAAAATGTATAGGTAGTTTTAGAATTAATTTATAGTAACTAGCAAAATCTTGATTATTTAATTGAATTTCTTGAAAAAAAAAAAGATTTTAAATATAGTTAAATGTTTCTTAATGTATCCAAGCTAACTTACATGATCTCCGTGACAAACTAAACCATCTATGTTTACACTTCCGAATTGTAGGGTTTAAACAATTTGGGCTGCTTATCCCTTCCCTCCATATGCATCTGTCCAGAATTGATCCTGCCAGGCATGAGCAACGCCTCGGCAGGCGGACTCAGGCTCAGATCCGACCTGTGCGAGTCTGTGGGTGAGATTTTTTGCTGGTAGGGCGGCACATCCCCGAAGTTCAAGTTAATATTCAGTCCTTGGTGTTGAGGAAGCGCTTGGTGAGTTCCCAGACTAGCTGGGAAGTTCATACTGGGTGGTGGGTGTATGAGATTAAGCGGTGGAACAGGCATACCAGGTCCTCCGGGATGTGCGAACGGCGGATACGGGGGGTATCGAGGGTAGTGAGGGGGGTACATGGGTCCCTGAGGGGGGTAGTGTACAGTGGAGGCCGCGGCTTGGAGGAGGGAGGCTGCGAAGAGGGGGTCGTTGTAGACTGCGGCGTATGGCCAGGCTATGGCCATGCGTTGACGTTTGTCTTTCATCCGTCGGTTTTGGAACCAAACCTGTAACAAAAAAAAGATTAATAAATAAATAAATAGGTATTTTATTCATATTAAATGAGATTTACAATAATAATATTGAAATTGAACAGTTAAAAAACGACATTCGTGCCATGAATTTTGGTACGACTGATATTGGAGATGGAGAACTACCCTCTATAAAACCGTCCCAGATACTGGCTTTTGTCAAAGCCCTGGGACTGTATGATGAGTTATGTTTCAAGAAAGGGGGACACAATGGATCTGTAAGGTCGAAGTGATTAACCCTCCTCCCACTCATTCTAAATTCTAAATTCTAATCATATGTCAACTTTGGAAATTTTCGAATATGGTTTATTTGAAATTATAACGAAAATTTGACTCGAAATACCAAGTGTGTGGTATCGTAAAAAAATGCTTTTTCCAAATATGCTAATGAGCCACCCTCGTTCCATTTGAAAAAATTGAGATATGATTAAAAGTACGATTTGGGCAAAGGCTCCTTGATTAAGAATTAGTGTTTTTAACATAATTATGACTACTATATGACATTTATATTAAGCGAGAATATAAAAAGTTGACATATTATCATATGTCATTCTATTCAGAATGCCATTTTCAATCGAATAAAGTAAAAAATACGGAGGGTGTCATTTAGGGTGTATTCCGTTGCTGACCTTGGTTATGGTATTATGTTCCGTTTCTATCGGTTTCCTGAAAGTTTTCTTATTACGGAAAAATTCGGTTAAAACTGCTACCAAACTAACCAGCGCGAGAAGGTTGGTTTTTCATAGATAAATTTCAAAGGGTTTCAAAGATAAATTTTATAATAGAGCCATTGAAATTTAGAAAACGTCAACATTTGACGTTTCCAGTATTTTACCAAACCGTTCCGTATCAAACCGATGTTTTTTAGAAACCGCTCTTTACCGTAGTTTACCGGTCTGGTTCGCCTGGTTTTGCAACGGAATACAGCCTTAAAAATCAAAAGCTGCGGTCATTTCCGGTAAAACAGGAAGTAACCAAAAACAATTGAAAACGTCAATCAATCCTAATATCAAATATACAAAATATACAATTTTTTTTAACCGAAGTAGTCCCCGTCATGTCTCGCTAGGTGCGTAAAACTACGCTATTTTTACGATTTTACTACATGCGATTTTTTACACGATTAGATATTTCATTATGATGATTGCGGGTACATTTAAGCCGCCGATGATCATAAACCGAAAAGAATCATAGAAAAAAATGCCGAAAAAGGCCGACAATGATTATTCAAACAATGGCGGCGCATAATGAAAGGCTCCGGCGTCGATTAGCGCATCGTAAAATTGATGCGATATACAAGAAACTTATCTCTTTTTCCATTAAGTTTTGGTGGATCGCCGGCGCAGCTAGCCGGGACAGCGGCACCGCCGGCGGTACTTTGATCTCGCTTAAAAGCTCTATTAGCGTTTTATTTGACCGGAGGAGGTGCTAATTGCCGCTGTTCTGTAGCGTACACACACGTAAACACTCCTATTTACGACATTAACAGTCAAAGTTTCAAGTTTTTTTAAGCCTTTTTACCATTTTTGTTTCTCCAATAACTTTAACTAAGAGTCCATTTCACTATAGTCTGAAAAAGTGGCAAAATAAACGTTCGGCATTTAACGTTTTATGTAAAACTGGCTAGGAATTTTTACACAAATCAAGAAGAAAATTAAAGATGAAGGATTATCCTACATTTCCCCAATAAATTAACGCACCACAAAAAAATAACCAAAAGTTTAAGTTAAGTTTTTGTCAAAACGACTTAACCGATTTGGACGATTTTTTTTTGAATGATAGGTTATTCTTTCCACAATGTTGCTATACTAACTGTATTTTGATAGGAACCCTTTTTATACTAATACCGGGTGTAGCAATTATAACGTGTTTTTTTGATAAAATTTGTGACACCCTGTAGAGTTATCAAGTTAAAATTGAAATTACATTTTAGCCCTATCTTTTTTTTTACATTTTGTTTTTTTATTTACTCCATTATCTTCCTTATTACACGAGAAACAACATTTTATAGGATGACATGATTTAATATTGGTTTTAATTATCATTTTTCCATTTTGCTCACTAAAGTAAGTAGCAGGCTATGGAAAAACACGGATTACCAGTAAATGTCAAATAGAGATGCTATAGTTTCTGTGCAAACTTGTAGACCATTAGCATCTCTGAGCTGAGTTTGAAGGGTCCGAGCTGTTACGAAACGTTGTCTTAATGTTGAGAGTTTTAAAAAACGTTCCTGAATCGAATTGGTTCTTCGATTCCTGCCTTGTCCCGGCCTGCGACAATTACTCCCAGTATCTCTATACCGTTGTATAACTCGTGAAATGGTTGAGTGAGTAACATTAAATCGTTCATCAATTCTTCGGTAGCTCCAACCTTTTTCAGACAATATTAATGCTTGAGCACATTCTTCGCCAGTAAGATTTCTTGTTTCATGTGCACGTTGCATATTTTTGACATAATAAAAGGACGAAAACGACTGACACTGACAACAAGCATCTCTATTTGACATTTACTCGTGATTCGTGTTTTTCCATAGCCTGCTACTTACTTTAGTGAGTAAAATGGAAAAATGTTATTTAAAACCAATATTAAATCATGTCATCCTATAAAATGTTGTTTCTCGTGTAATAAGGAAGATAATGGAGTAAATAAAAAAACAAAATGTTAAAAAAAGATAAGGCTAAAATGTGATTTCAATTTTAACTTGATACTGTAACTGATCAACTCTACAGGGTGTCACAAATTTTATAAAAAAAACACGTTATAATTGCTACACCCGGTATTAGTATAAAAAGGGTTCCTATCAAAATACAGTTAGTATAGCAAGATTGTGGAAAGAATAACCTATCATTCAAAAAAAAAATCGTCCGAATCGGATAAGTGGTTTTGACAAAAACTTAAACTTTTTGTTATTTTTTTGTGGTGCGTTAATTTGTTGGAGAAGTTTATATCCGTATTGTAGCACATTTTATGGCAAATGCTGAAGCTGTGCAAACCTTAATCAAAGCACGTTGACTTTGACACTGTGCGACTCTATGTCAGCATTAATATTACAGAAAGTAGGTAATGTATGCAGTTAAGGGTTGAACTTAGTAAAAATACCGTTCAAAAATTTTGCTAAAAATGTTCTAAATTCTCTTTACCTTAATGGTGCTTTCTGGCAGGTTCAACATGGCGGCCAGCTCGACTCTGCGTGGTCTGGACACGTAATTTTCCTTGTAGAATTCTTTTTCTAATCGCAGCAGTTGCTCCCTGGTAAATGCTGTCCTGTATCGCCTTATATTGGATTCGTTTGGTGACGTTTCACTAGGGCTCCTACTAAGGTCTGACTGGGCCTGTGGACTGCCACCATCTGAAAAGAAAAGAAATCAATTAGTTACAGAGCCTATCATTTTAATTTAATTAAATTTTGTTTTGAGTTTCTTGGATATACAGGGTGTTTCAAAATAAATGCGAAAAACTTCAGGGGGTGATTCCTTGTTCAAAATAAAGGGTAGTTTGCTTCATAAACGTTGGGTCAAAAGTCAACCATTAGGGAGATATCGCGGTACAAAGATGGCGGAAAAATAATGTTCTTATTTTTTATCTTGAAAACGAAAAGAGATAGACTAATGAAATTTTATGGAAGCCTTACTGTTATGAAAACACACTTTCTGGTAATTTTTTTCACTTTTTAAAATGAGTGGAAGGGGTTGAAATAAACTACCCTATCATTCTTGTTAACGAAATTTAAAGAAAAATCTTATCAAACACATGCAAAAAATTAATTTGGATAGATTAGTTTGTTTAGAAACTTTTTATCTCTTGTATTTTTTATAAAACTCACCGATTTGAAATTAAAAAATAAAATGTAAAGCATTACATGTCAGGACTAAAAATATTTTTAGATTAAGAATCTAGTGATAATAATAATAATAATAATAATCTAGATAATAACGTATTGCAGTAGGGTAATGTCAAATAAAACAATAATAGAAACAACCTAAAAGTGACAGCGGCCGACTAGATTTTTCCTAAAAAATTACAGCTGCCCACTAGATTCTTTATCTAAAAATGTTTTTGTCCTGACATGTAATGCTTTACATTTTATTTTTTTAATTTTAAATCGGTGAGTTTTATCAAAAAATACAAGAGATAAAAAAGTTTCTAAATAAACTAAACTATCAAAAAATTTTTTTTTGCATGTGTTTGATAAGATTTTTTCTTTAAATTTCATTAACAAGAATGATAGGGGTAGTTTATTTCAACCCCTTCCACTCATTTTAAAAGTGAAAAAATTACCGGAAAGTGTGTTTTCATAACAGTAATGCTTCCGAAAAATTTCAGTCTATCTCTTTTCGTTTTCAAGATAAAAAATAAAAACATTATTTTTCCGCCATCTTTGTACCGCGATATCTCCCTAATGGTTGACTTTTGACCCAACGTTTATAAAGCAAACTACCCTTTATTTTGAACAAGGAATCACCCCCTGAAGTTTTTCGCATTTGTTTTGAAACACCCTGTATGTTTGAGTTTTGCCAAATCATTATCACCTGATCCGAGCTGTTCTATTTATTTGGTAAAGGTACCTTGAGGTTTGAATTTATGACTATGAGGCAAAGCATTACGAGCTTTACATACTAATAAGAGACACTCCAGACAAAATTACAGTCTCCCATCAAAACTGCCGCATTAAACGCCCTGTATACAGGATGGTACCAACTCTATTCCGGAAATTCCGGCAGCATATTCTGCAGATAAAAATAAGTAAAAAAGTTCGTATAAAAGTATGTCGTAAAATGTTTAGTTTCGGGGATACAGGGTGTATAGAAGTTTCATTTTTATTTCGATTTTTTCCAAATAACTTATGCAGTAATGTAAATAATGTAATGTTACTTCAGAAATTATTTCGAAAAAATCAAAATAAAAATTAAATTTCTACACCCTGTATCTCGAAAACTAAGCATTTTAGGACATACATTTATACGAACTTTTTTACTTATTTTTATCTGCAGAATATGCTGCCTAAGTTTCCGGAATACAGTTCGAACCACCCTGTATAATACTCATTCACGAATTAGCAGCCCTTTTCTGGTAGCCGGTTTGAGACAGTTTCAAGTACCACCTCATTATCTCCCGGTACCACTTGAAGAAAAGGAAGTTACGACGCCCGAAGTACTTATCTGGAGTTCCGTCTTGGCGGATGTGGAAGTACTTTTACTGTCCTGTGCTCTTATATGGTCTAGACATGTTGTTTTCCAGCGGTATATCGCTGTTTTTGCTTTGCTAATTGGGTTATTAACCACTTGAAACAAGGAGCCAAAACACCCTTGTACAGGGTGTCTGTTAAATAAGTACTTTAAAGTATGGTAGCTTGTTAAATAGAAATATGTTTTCTATTTACCGTTTTTAAAATAAATTGGAAAGAACCGAGTTGTTAATCTTTGAAAATTTAATAAAATAATGCTTACGAAGCGTCTATAAATTTCGTGAGATTTTTTTCAGGGAATTATTTCAGAAGAATGAATCTGCGGTACTAGAAAGTTTTATAAAATTTCCCCTGTATATTGGGATATTGTGTCGTTGTGAGAAATTATCCACATAATATCAAATAAATATTTGATCAAACCAGAAAGTTTTGACTCAATAAAATTAAGAAAAAAATAACAAAAAATTTACAGGGTGAGGCTTAAATAAGTACAAATATTTTCAGGAGTGGTACATCTCGATAAAAGAAACATATTTTCTCTTTAACGTTTTTTTAAGTAAGCCCGAAATAAGCGAGATATTTGACTTTGAAAATTAATAAAAAAATTGATTTTTCGCTTAAATTTTGAGAACCACCTAATCTTTTCTGGGTTTTCTTTTTTGTAAGTTAAATTCAAATAATTGCAAGCACAATTTATAATGATGTGTTTATAGAAAAAAAAAATCAATGAAACCAGATAGTTTTTAGAGACCTTATAAAAATAAATGTTCAATGAGATTTCCAAAATATGCAGAAAAAAAACAGAAATATTTTAAAATATTGATGGGGTTTTTTTCAGTTCCAGATAAAATGCAAAAATAATTCTGTAGATTTTTTGTGAAGGCCAATAAATGAATAAACCTATCTATGTATTTATTATAATTTCTGTGTTATTTTGAATTGCTTGTATATAAAGTTTTGTTTAAAGCAAATATAAAGTTATAAAAAATTCTGAAACTAAATTTAACATAAAATATTTAATGCAATTATTTATTTTAACAGATATTTAATAGTTATTACAGTTATTTACTTTAATATTTTTTGTTTTGTTAGTCTTTTTAACCAAGACAAAAAAAACAAAATGGCCAGGAGACATGATTCTGGTCGAAAAATAACGTTTTAGGAAAAGTTACTAGCAAAATTATTGCACAGGGCGTGTTTTAAAGTTAAGATAAAAAAAACAACTCTTCAATTAACCCTGTATAATAAACCAAATACTAAAGTTTATAAAAAAAACTGAGTTTACGAATCAAAGTTGATAGATTTATATACAGGTTGCTAAAAAACTCATGAAAATTGCAAGTTTCTTCAAGGTTTAAGGTTTCCTCTCATATTTTTGCATTGATTTCTTTTAAATTCTTGACTATACCTAAAAAACTCTTATTACCTTTAAAAATCATGTTATTTGGTGGTGTATTTGGAGGACTAGGTTGACTCGGATGACCAGCAGCTTCCATGTACTGAGGAGGAATTAAATCAACCACTACCGACCCAGCACTGTGATGGTCCACTTGGTGATGGCCGAACAATTTAAAACTTTCAGGAGTGTGCATTATCCCGTTCTAACAACACCACGATCACAAGAATGCAAGTCACTATATTAAAACACTAGTCTGTATCGCAAAAAACAGACGATCTACCGGTGTCTCGATGTTCGCCACAGACTAAGCCACCAAAAATAAACTAATAGTTGGACCACTCCGTGTTTTTATCAAGCTCCGGAAGAATGCATGGGCGTGGCTTGCTTAGGTACGGGTTGGTTGCCTGGAAATCGATCTCTGATTGGGTGGTCCTGCCCTGAGTCCTTAAACGGCTTTGTCGTAAGGGCTAGAGTGGCTTGGCGCGTGTTTATGAGCTTTTAGTACGTGTCCTGGCAAATTATATCAGTAGGGGATGATTTTTGGGGTAGGAAGCAGTGGCGCCACAAGGACTGTTTATTTTTCAGGTAATATTATACAGTACGTCCTCGAATTATTTTACAAGAGGGACAACATTTTTATTATTGACTTTTTCAGAAAAATGCATTCTTGATCAAAATTTTGCTTGTTGTAAAATAGTTAATCCCGTTTAAACTTTTTCAAATTTCCATACCGTTTTAGAGAAAATTTAAAAAAGCATGTTGTGACTTTTTATGAAGAATACCCTACTTCTTGCTACAGATTATTGCAGTAAATTTACCATCCGTTGGTTGTTTAGTTTTACATCTCGTTTGTAAAATCGCTGTATGGCTAATTTGGTATGTATATAAATATGCTATAATATATCTTGATATTCACCAATATTTTTTGTGAATTTATTTTTTGAAATCGGCAACTTCTTGTAATATTACTATAGGGTAACAACAAATTTAAACATTTTATTATAGTAAATTTACAATTACTTTTTTAAATTCAAAAAGCGTTAGTAAATATAAATAATATTTATTATAAAGGTTAATAAAAAGTCTCAAAACAGAACTTATGCATGTAATATACTCATTGCCATCTCTTCTTGTCTATAAGAACCTTACTGGAATTCTGCGCCTAAACAAAATAGGAACAAAATTGCCATTAGATACAAAATAGGCTCAACTTTCTTTAGCTGAAATCTGTTACATAAAAAATGACTTTATATATGCGTTCTAGAATGCGTTAGGAGTACAAATAGCCTAAACAAAATAGGAACAAAATTGCCATTAGATACAAAATAGGCTCAACTTTCGTTTAGCTGAAATCTGTTATATAAAAAATGACTTTATATATGCGTTCTAGAAGGCGTTAGGAGTACAAATATACAACAACTTTTCCTGCGGAAATGCGTCATTTTTATTTTTCGGACTTTAGTATAGCCCAAATCTGTTACATCAAAACTAGTCTTCAGGGTGTGTTTTAGACATTTTTCTAGAATATTTTGTGTTTATATGTTCAAAAAAATATTAAAAATAAAACGCAAAATGTATTTTTTATAGCAGATTTCAGTTAAGTGCGAAATTTGGAAATTACGTATTTCCGTAGGAAAATTTGTGTTTCCGTGGTTCACAGTAGCTTTTTAAAGACAATTTTTTTTCTTTCTAATAACTGATTTAAGCTAAACGAAAGTTGACCCAATAAAACCGGTCCTTGGATACGCCAATGGGTTTGGGGATGATTTCCAGGGAGTTTTACCCCCTAAAAACCTCCATTTTCCTGCTGAGGAACGGAAAGAGACGAGACGAGACCATATCTGAGCTGGCGCTATACGTATTGATTAAGTTTATGTTCTTGTTCATAAAGGGATTTTCCGGGGGCGGTTTCGGGGAAGTTTTCCCCAACTTTACGCTTCCGGGGGGATGAAATGCCGGATTCCTCCGGTCTGGATACTAATATAGCCTTTCAGCGTTATATTTTTCTTTACGACGGCGTATCCCGAATTTAATTGGAGATAAAATTGTTGTTGTGTACGTGTTTATGTCCTGTTTTATCTGTCTGTCTTATTAAAAAACATTGTTTTTAATGTACGTCTCTTTTTTAACATTGTACACTGAAAAAATTATAAGTAATTTTACTAAAAAAAATACAGATATACAGGGTGGCGCACTTCATTCACCTCGGTTGATTATACGAAAGCAGAAAGATGTAGAAACAAAATATTTTATGGGTATATGTAGAGAGGCAATGCGCACAATTTAAAATTATTTTTAAGTGTACAGGGTGTGTCAGAACTAAGATCCATACCAAAGTTATATTTCTTCTTATGGAACACCCGGTATTTTATTTCATTTTTGGATTATTGGGCATAAAATAAAGCATTTATTATAAGGGTTTAATATGTCTAAAAGCTTTGGTTTTTGAAATATTTAAAGATATTTAAATATGCATGCTATAATAAAAAAGTTTATCAACACCTTGTACAGGGTGGGTCAAATTCGACGCTTTTAAATGGAAACACCCTTTTCTAGAGGAGATAGACGAAAACTAATATCGGTGTCTGGAGCTCAATTTTTGCCAAAAACATGATGGTGAAAACCGCATATCGATATCTGTTACCGTTTCGGAGTTACGGGGTGTTTTTCAAAAATATGCACTTTTAACAAATCGCTGTAACTTTTTTGCTATGGAAAATTTTGTATTTTTATAAAAACATTTCCAGAGCACCTTTTTACGTAGAATTTAATGCTTTAAGTATAATTTTTCTAAAATTAATAATTTAAGAATTATCAACACAAAATTTGATTTTTTATATAGGACACCCTGTATATTTTTAATTTATTGAAAAGAATTTAAAATTACCTTTCCAAAAATATAACACACTTGATATTTTGCTCGATTCCTCTTTGAGATATAGAGTATATAAAAATTCGCCCGCTTTAAATGAGTAGGCTTTGAACGACACCGGCTGTAAACCGGCAAAAAAATCTAGCTATGAGTATCAATTAAAACGAAAATATGATTTGCTATTAGAGATGCAGAATTTTATAACTATTTAAAATATATTTAACCAACATCAACACATTTAAACTATATCTAATAACAATAAAAATAAATAGCAAACCAAGACATAAGACTTTGCTACAGGTGTTCGACATATCGACCTGGATCTTCTGTTATGGACAGACGGGGCAGTTTTTGAACATTTCTCGCGGAATTCATTAACTCAGTAGGGGTGAAAGATACCCTCTCATAACTGCTAAGTATTTCTAATTCTTGTCTAGATTATACGGAAGAATAAGAAACCTTTATTTTTCCGCAAATATATCCATAGGATTAGATCCATGGGCACTAAGTCAGGCGGCCTCGACGGCCAACGGCTGGAATCTTGGTTAGCTATTCAATTATTCTTGAAATTGGATGCAAAAATTTGCTGATAACTTCAATGTTCAGAGCGGTGCGTCGTCTTGCTGGAAAATATGTTTTCGAGTTCCATTAAGGGATATCATCAATAAGGAGTCCAAAGCCTACTAGTTAAAAGTGGCGAACTTTTAAAAATTCTGTATTTCGAAGGGGATTATAACAAAATATCAAGTGTGCTATATTTTTGGAAAGGTAATTTTAAATTCTTTTCAGTTAATTAAAAATATAGAGGGTGTCCCAAATAAAAAATCAATTTTTTTGTTGATAACTCTTAAATTATTAATTTAAAAAAAAAATATGCTTAAACTATTAAATTCTACGTAAAAAGGTGCTTTGGAAATGTTTTCATAGAAATACAAAATTTTTCATAGCAAAAAAGTTACAGCGGTTTGTTAAAAATGCACATTTTTGAAAAACACCGATATTCTCCGTAACAAGAGTAACTCCGAAACAAACAAAAAATGTGCGGTTTTCACCATCATGTTTTTGATGAAAATTGGGCTTCAGACACCGATATTAGTTTTCGTCTATCTCCTATAGAAAAGGGTGTTTCCATATAAAAGCGTCGAATTTGACCCGGACACCCTGTATAGTAATATTACAACAAGTTGGCGATTTACTATGAGATACACAATTTTTAAGTAAATTCACAAAGAATATTGGTGAATATAAAAATATACCGTATGATCGAATAAAAACGGCGTCAACGATGGCTATGAAATGAATGAAGATCGCTGACATTTTATCTGTAAAATTATATGGGAAATGTCATCGATCGTCATTTCCAAGCCAACTCGACGCCGTTTTTTTTTCGATCATACGGTATTATAACATATCTACATAAAGGCCACAAATTAGCCATACAGCATTTTTAGAAACGAGTTGTAAAACTAAAGAAAGGATGGTAAATTTACTACAATAATCAAGAAAGGCAAGAAATAACCCTCAATATTGCGATTAAATCCAAAAATTAATTTTTTTGCTGTATAGTAATTGTACAAGAAGTTGGCGATTTCAAACGATAAATTTACAACGAATAAGTAAATGTACTATAAGATACACTTATTTTTTATTTTAACCAAATAAATAAAATAATTATGAGTGTCATAGGTATATTTACATATTTAAATGCCAATTTATAATATTACTTAGTTATAATGATTTACTTTATGTCGAACAGTATCTAATAAAATAATAAAATATACCCTTATAAATAATGGCAGGTAAACTTATAAAATTAAGGTCTCACAATGCAACTAAATTAGTAATTTTAATATTTTCTTTTTGTAAGTTCCTGAATAATTATCAAATATAAATAATATTAATAATGCTTATTAGGAACAGGTAGTTCTATTAACAGCCAATAAACATTTATTGATAGTTTGTAAAAATATAAAGTGAGTATTTATCTATTTAGACTTTTATTGATTGTTGGTTTAATATAAATTAAGTTTATCCAGCAATTGTTCAGTTAATAGTTCAATTTTATATCCCCAAATAGGTAGCCAGGAAGTATACATACATATTTTAGTGTTATACAGGGTGCTATAAATTCGAGGTACGAGCATTGGTATCTCGGAAACCGTAATAGATACGAAGATAGTTAAATTGGGGCAATGTTGCGCTTTGGGATGTTTACCAAGATGCCATCAAAAAAGTTTTAAAAATTTCAACGAGTTTTTTGGAAAAAACGAATTTTTTTGAAAACCAATTTTATTTTTTCCTGTCGTTACTTTTTAGAAAATCAAAAAACTAAAGTGATTTTTTTTTTGTTAGGACAATTGCTTGTTGGCCTGAAGGGTTTATGCTCAAAGATATCCAAATAGAAAATTTCTAGACAAGCGTTCTTTTGAAAAACTACTTTTCATATTTCGCAGAGCTGATAGTGTGGTATTTGAAAAACCTATTAGACAGAAACCTGTCGTTGGAAGTGAAGAAAATGAATTTGCCTTAATTGGCTCTTTTATAGAAAATTCAATATATCTGCAAGTCATCGTAATATAAATCAAAGGACTACTCCTTTATTTTTCTTGATACAATAATAAATACTTATTAATTAAACTATTGTAGGTAAATTAAATAAAAGTAAACTGTTATAAATTTAAATAAAGTCCATAAACTAATGTCGATTTTGAAAATAGCTACTAACTGTCAGTAGCAAATTGCTATGGCGACACCAGCCATCTTGATTGCCATTTTATTGAAAAATCGTTTGTATTCAAAATCTGAGCCAGATAGGTATAGGAAACCTTAATATAGTTTGAAAGGGAATTTGAATCTGCTTCGACTTATTTAAAAAAATACATAGTGTTGAATATGAAATAACGAAGTTTTTATGTAAAATAAATATTTAAAATAGACCAACAATTTTTGATACCCCTGTATACATTTAAGAAAGCAATATTTTTTTTAGTAAAGTTTATTTCTCCGGCTTCAAAGTCAGCACAATAATTAACTCTGAACAGTAATGTACAGGGTGTTGTACAAACTTTTTTATTATAGCATGCATATCTAAATATCTTTAAATATCTCAAAAACCAAAGCATTTAAACATATTAAACCCTTATAATAAATGCCTTATTTTATGCCCAAAAATCCAAAAATGAAATAAAATACAGGGTGTTCCATAAGAAAAAATATATAACTTTGGTATGGATCGTAGGAATGACACACCCTGTACATTTCAAAATAATTTTAAATTATGCACATTGCCTCTCTACTTATACCCATAAAAATTTTATTTCTACATCTTTCCGTTTTCGTATAATCAACCGAGGCGAATGACGTGAGCCACCCTGTATACTTTAGATGGATAATGCCATTAAACGATACAAATAGTTTTAATATTTGAAAGTATTTTCACAGATACATTTCAATAGTTTGTTTCTTTAATGCAAACTATTATGTTGAATAATATTTGACTTTATGATTATATAGTAAACTGTTGAATTTTGATTTAACTATTGTGTTAATTTTACCTCAAAGTGACGTAAATAATTTTAGCACCAACGATACGAATGAAGCTCCAGTTTAAAACAAAATATTTGTACTTTATTCAAAAAAATATACATAAAAATAAAATCAGTCTATCTATAAACAAAAAAGAAACCTTTTCAGACGTTCAGCAACGGGGTAGTCTCCACCTGACACGGGGTAACAATGAATTTTCTCCCGATAGACATCCCCGATCCTCCCGACCCTCCAGATTTAAGTAACGGTGACTTTTCCGACACTTTTTCCTTGATAACCTTCAAGTTTTCCTCCGCATCGGAACTTCTAGGAAATATCTGGGACAATCTCCTGTACTGGCCATTGTAACTTTCATTTCTTGTCTTCATTATGGGTATATGCAACAATTTCGAAGGCGTAGACTCGTTTTTCGAGTTGATCAAGTTGGAGCAAGGTGACCAAGTGTACTGGGGCCTCTTAATGTTCTCTCTGAAGTTCTCCTTGGAGAGATCTGTGGAGAAATGCAACATGTCGCCCAGTTTGCGACTGTTTAGCAAGGTTTGGTAGTAGTTGAAGGAGTCGTTGTGGAAGGTTTTGTTATAGTTTCTCGTTTCTTTAATGTCGTGCTTCCAAAAGTTGCGTCTAGCTTGGTCTTTTGATGAGTTTGGTGCCACTTCTTTAATCTGTACGATAAAACAAAATAAATTGATCCATTTTATGTAATAATAGTGATAAAATACAGGGTGGGCCACTGAAAACTTACAATAGCTATACTTTTTAAACCAAAAAAGATATCAAAAAAATAAAAAATACCGTTTCTATAATATCGAGGGGGAATACATATGACGTATTTTTTGAACCACACCGACCTACCCCTAAAGCGGCACCCCTACTCACTTGAAAATCTTAAACGACAACACCCCACTTGTGGCGCATTTTTGGAAAATGCAAGTTTGATCATACGAGATCATCATCGTTTAGCATTTTTCATGGGCTTTCCAAAAAAGCGCCACAAGTGGGGTGTTGCCATTTAAGATTTTCAAATGAGTAGGGGTGCCGCCTAAGGAGTAGGTCGGGGTGGTTCAAAAAATACGTCATATGTATTCCCCCCTCGATATTATAGAGACGGTATTTTTTATTTTTTTGATATTTTTTTTGGTTTAAAAATTATAGCCATTGTTTTCAGTGGCTCACCCTGTATATACCTATTGTAATCACAAAACATTTTCAGATGCACGTCATCAATCATATCGAAATTGACACTATAAAGTCTATAAACCTGACTAAATGAAATTTTGGCAAAAATTAAGTTATTAAATTAAAAATAAAACGTAAAAATCTTAAAAAATGATATAATCAAATATATTGTTTGTCACTTTTAAATTAGGATTAACTTCATAAATCCATCACAATCTGGCAGCGCTGTCGCCATCGCTTGTCACTCAAAGTTGATCACGTGAATCGGAAATTGTTTTGCGATTACCATACCTTAAATACTAGAATCCCGGCTGCGTAGATACAAACGATGTTCACAAACGTCAGACAAATACTGACAGCTCCCAAAGTCAGCAATTCGGTAAAGCTCTCATTCGAATAATAATCTGTGTGTGTTATAGAGGTGTATCTACTCGAAACATCCCCTTTCAGGTAATAGACGAACCCCAGGGACCATAACAGGCCCTAAAACCATATAAAACTTTTTAGGTGCTTTTTTAAAAGGCGTTTATGGACATACCGCATTGACAGCCGGTGGCATCAAGGATGTAGATATGGCAACGCCGACTAGAGATGCTATGTTATCACTGAGAATTCCTAAGGCTACCGCTGCTCCAGATAATAGAGCTATCAAGGCTCCTACCCATAAAGATCTTAAAACTCCCCTGTAAAAGAAATATAATAACTTAAGACAAAGGTGTTTTTACATGCATTATGTACTAACCTGGAGTACATTTCGTAGGTAGGCCAATCTGAAGTACCGTATCTGTCAGTTATGACACATATAATCGAACCATAACAGAATCCTACAAGTGTGGCGATGCCCAAACCTATCAGTTCATTTCTTACTCCTATTTTTTGGAGGTGTTTGTCTCTGATGACTGTCCCAAATGTACCAGCCATTACAGGACCCTACCAGCAGAGAAAACAAAAAAAATTGAATCATTAGTACCCGATAATCTTGAAGTTTTATGTCAATTTTTAGTAAATTACGTTTAGAGATTGACCTTGCCAAAATTATCAACGACTGTCATTCCCTAGCCGACTTTGACGCCGTTTTTTTCTCGATCATACGGTACTTTGTACGTATACAATGATAGATATGCTACTTACCATCATAGGAGATATCAGCATACTTGACAACATGCAAATTTTGTCATTTTCTACCAATCCAAGAGCACATAAAGTTCTACAAAATAATAAAAATAAATATGTTGTGCCGGAAACAATGTAACGATATTATTTTAAATATCGATACATGTTTAATAATGAAGAGATAATGAGAAAGTAATTTAATTACCTAATAATAGGTATAATTAATAGGTTTATAGTTTGATTATACTTACGTGGAAATCAACAACAACATTATAAAGTCAAAGGTTATAGCTGCATGGACCCTAACATTCTCCACAACCTGGGCAACTGTCAAACGGGATTTGACAGATGAAACGAATATGTTCCAACCGCTGTTCTTTATTTCATTTTCTCTAAAAATCATAAATATATTTTTTAATATATTGTATAGCTAGGAGAGAGTTCATCTAGCTAAAGAATACGCTATATTAGTATAAATTGTTGTAATTTTAAGGATATAGTCTGTCCAAATACAAACACCTTACAATGAAATACCATATAATGATCATTTTTTATCATACGGTACATACTTATCTATTTTATTTGGTACATACTTATCTAAAATCGTTTCATCCTCTAAGAATTCTTCATTTTCATTTAAGCTGTTACCATGGTAGTGGATTGAACAAGGCATAACGCTTATTTTTGAGTTGAGCTTTTTGCCAATATCGTGTTCTCTCAAAATCTCAAGCATATCTTCGCATTTGGTACCGCATTCGATGGGGAACATGATTTGATAGTGGTTCTTGTCGTCTGTTTTAGTCCATGTCGTGTTTGATATTTCTAACTGTTCCAAAGTTAACTTAATAATCTATAAAAATATTGGTATTATTTTTATATTTTATAGCTTGATACATATAAGTACTTAAAAAAATATTCTTTTAAGACAATAGCAACACAACAAGTAAAAACACTATTTTAAAATTATTGACTTAAAAAAATGACTGAAATGAAGTCCAGAACCAAGATTTAAAAAAAATGGAATATTTTGTGGCCAGTTCTCTAATTTTTATTTAAAAATATTTCTCTAAATATTTTCAATATGGCGGCACTTCCGGAAATACCGGAAGTTGACAGCAACTTTCTTATTTTAAATGGGTGCCCCCATTTTTTATTACGTACTTAAATTCTCTGTAAAATTTTATGAATTTTGATATTAAACACTCTATATCTAACATTAATCGTTTTTGAGAGAAAAAATATTTAAAATTTTTGGAGGAAAAAAACTGCCTGTCAAAATTATGTATATAGCCTAAACGTCAAATTTAGTGATTACAGCAGCCACAAAACATGTGGCTATCGATTTCAAAAATGAAATTGTTCAAATGTCATATAATAATGGCGGTAGCTGTCATGGAATTGAGCTATTAAAAAATGATCATAAATCATTTTTTTCAAATGGAAACCACCATTCTTTTATTTCACTACTGAAAAGGATTATTTCCTATATTTTTCATTTTATTAATTTTATGGAAAGCACTGTTCATTAAAATGTTGTATCCTATGTTATAGGACTTGTTTCTCCCTACAATTTCCTGTTTCACAATATACCGTTTGTGTCCGGGAAGGGTTCATAGTTTCATAGATGTTGATTTTTGAAAGAAATCAGTACATCTATATTATTTCCTATATTTTTCATTTTATTAATTTTATGGAAAGCACTGTTCAGTAAAATGTTGTATCCTATGTTACAGGGCTTGTTTCTCTCTACAATTTCCTATTTCACAATGTACCGTTTGTGTCCAGGAAGGGTTCATAGTTTCGTTGATGTTGATTTTTGAAAGAAATCAGTACATGTATATTATTTCCTATATTTTTCATTTTATTAATTTTATGGAAAGCACTGTTCATTAAAATGTTGTATCCTATATTATAGGGCTTGTTTCTCTCTACAATTTCCTATTTCACAATGTACCATTTGTGTGCAGGAAGGGTTCATAGTTTCATAGATGTTGATTTTTGAAAGAAATCAGTACATGTATATTATTTCCTATATTTTTCATTTTATTAATTTTATGGAAAGCACTGTTCATTAAAATGTTGTATCCTATGTTATAGGGCTTGTTTCTCTCTACAATTTCCTATTTCACAATGTACCGTTTGTGTCCAGGAAGGGTTCATAGTTTCATAGATGTTGATTTTTGAAAGAAATCAGTACATGTATATTATTTCGTATATTTTTCATTTTATTGATTTTATGGAAAGCACTGTTCATTAAAATGTTGTATCCTATGTTATAGGGCTTGTTTCTCTCTACAATTTCCTGTCTCACAATGTGCCGTTTGTGTCCAGGAAGGGTTCATAGTTTCATAGATGTTGATTTTTGAAAGAAATCAATACATGTATATTATTTCCTATATTTTTCATTTTATTAATTTTATGGAAAGCACTGTTCATTAAAATGTTGTATCCTGTGTTATAGGGCTTGTTTCTCTCTACAATTTCCTGTCATATCTCGTATCTTTAGTGACATCTAATAGTTGATATTATTAATAATATACCGTATGATCGAAAAAACGGCGCAATGATGACTTGGAAATGATGATGACTGCCTTGAACAAAGTCTCACAATATGACATGGCCATATCTATTGTTTTACATCACTTGACGTTTAAAGTCATAGGCTACTAGTTAAAATCAAGTAAAATATAAGTGCCGCCATATTGAAAATATTTTTATTCGATAGATCTCGCTGTCAAAAAATCTCCGATCTAAATATTGTAGTTCTCTAGAAACTTCTAATTCACGCTCAGCCTGGGACACCCTGTATATGTATTTTACTTTGTTTAATACAAAATCATCAAAATATGAATAATATTTTTAAAAATTACCAAAAAAATCAAGTTCATTTAAAAAGTATACCTTTTTATCAATTGGTACTTTGTATTTAGAGAACGACTAGGTACTATAATTTTCAAAAATGGATTTATATATTTTTCTATCTAAGAAAACAGGTCTTAAATAGTCTTAAGACTAATGAGAACCAAGAAATTTTTTTTTGAGGATAATTTTTCTAAAAAAAAGAAACTTAATGATTTACTTCGTATTTTGAAAGCTTAGCAGCAAAATTAGCCCAAAAAAAAACATATCTTTATAGAAAACTAACCTTTTCCATTGACTGGTAATCTGGATGAGTACTCTCCACCTTCTTAAGCTCCGATCCTGTAGGCGACATGGGCCTTTCGTCTATGGTCACCTTTTTCTTCTTCTGTAACAAGCATTTCTCGTGTTTTTCGGTCGGAATCAAGATTAAAATCACTCCAGAACCGGACATTTCTTTGGTACTGCTTCAGTAACGTACCACTCGCACCGAGTACTGCCCAGAGCTCTTGTATTATAAATTTAAATCGATTTTTTGCGATATTGTAAAAACACCAAACAGCTACAATCAAATTAATATGAATTGGATATTCTGCATTAGAATAATTATTGTTAGAATGATATTGATATGCAATAAGTTGTATTTGAAAGTGATATTGGTATCTCTGTATTGTTGATTTTTCGAGAAATTTGTGATTTCCAGTTATATCCATCGATATTATAATAGATAGAATATTCTATATGTGCTCGAAATATATTTATGATTTTTTGACTCCTTTATTGTATTAATATATATACAGGGTGGCCCAGTATTCTATAAAAGTCTATATCAGACTTATAAGAAAATATTTGTAATTAAAGAGGTTTGTGGAACGGCCGCTAGAGGGCGTAACTGCTATGAAAAATAAGAAAATTGAATTTTTACAAAATTTGGCCTAGATAAGGGGTACTATATTCATAGTTTCGTAATCCTCAGTAAATTTTAGATTTTTTTTGTTAGAACCATTTTTCCCTATCTGCTAAAATAAAGCTGTGGGGAAAGGTTAGATCTGTTTTTTTGATTTAAATGCTAATAACTCCGGACTGGATGATCAGAATCTAACAAACAAAGGCTGGTTTAAAAGAGCCTTTCTTACTCTATATTATACCATAAAAATAATAATAATAAGTTTATGAACGGAGACGCTAAGGGGCGCTGTCTTTCAATTTAACAAACATTGCACGTTTTTTCAAAAAAAATTAAATGTGATAGTATATGTAATTTTAGCTGATAGTAAAGAGTAATAAAAGATTAAAAAGTCAGCGAAGACCGCATCTTGATATCTTCTTTCAAACTGAAGATATTAGCAATATTATAATAAATACAAAAAAATAAGCCTCTAATTACGTTATTTTTATAACTGGGTATCAGTAGCCCTCTTGATTATGCCCATTCTAATAAAAATTTAGATAGAAACGATTAGTTTTTTTCTAAAATCGACAATATACCAGAATACCATAATACCAGATATATTAATTTCTAATAAGTAAGATGCCAATAACAGTGAAAATGAAACGATGCCTCAGTGAAGTCATGGTAGGCTTTGGAAAAAAGTTGCTTAACATCTTAAATCATCTTAATGTTAAGAGACTATAAGGTAATAGATTCAAAATTCTCTTATTTTTTATCTGTTTATATTTTTGTGCATATTAGACTTATATCAATACCAATTTTTTTTCTAGATCTTTTAAACTCTATGGTTAAGTCTCATTCTTAATACTTATGATATTTAATGATACGATGTTCTTATGTTTATTGTGTGACATTTGAACTATCTAATGTCAAAAACCGAGTGAATTGACCCCATTTTGAACCATATCTTACGGCAAATATTTATCGTTTTTTTTTAAGATAAGGATACTTAATGCATAATAGTACTGAGTCCTGATCGTTAGTGGTAAGATTAATAGTATTATTTAATAAAGATTTAAATTTTAAATTAAAAATATTTTTTTAATGACAATTTATTTGAACATACCGGGTGTTGCATCGTCGAGCGGACATACGAAATCCCATGTAAATTTTAATGGGGTCAATTATTGGCTTCCCTAATTATTTTAGAGAATAATTCTATTTGGGTTTATTGAAGAGCACTAAAACCCACATTCAAAAGAATAACTTTAGATATTTTTGATTAGCCCGTTTACGAGTTATCGCCGATTTCTTTTTAAATATTTCTCCTTTCTTATGGCCCTGGATTTACTTATGAGCACCAGTCAAGGTAAAAGATAACTGTCAAATGAAGGTGTCATTTCAGAAATTTACCTATTTAGTGCTTTATTATTATTATTAAAAACTCATACCTACATCAAAAATATTAGCCATGAATTACACTACCGAAGAAAAAGTATTGATGATTAAATGGTATTATCAAGGAAATAGTTATCAAAAGGTGTCGGACAGGTTTGCTGCTCTGTATCCGATATATACCGATACCTGGAAAATCTACAATCGCAAGGAATATCCAGAGATTTGAGACCAAAGGTACCCTAATAAATAACTGCAGATGTGAAGCAAGGCAGGAACAAAGAGAAGTTGCAAGAAATGATACCGACTTGGAAGTTTTATTGTGCGTGGAAGAGAACGATGGAAAGATCAGCACAAGGATGAAATAGGAATAGATCACACTACAGCGTGCAGCGTTTCGAATTTTGAAACGACATGAATACTATTCCTTCAAATATGAAAAGCACCAAGCAGTGGCGGATACAGGGGTGGGGGGCCATGGGGCCCGGGCCCCCCTAAGATCTGTAAATTGGATTAAATTAATAACACACTACTACCATAAATAACAACTATTTTAGTTACCTTATCTAAAGAACATAAAACATAACACTCTGTATACTATGCCATTTATGTCACTTACTTTCGTATAACCTATTTTTTTCTTGAACAACGTCATTTTGACAAACTTTTTTAAAAATTCCAAATAATTCTCATGAAAGAATTATTATATATCTATATATTTTTATTTTCTGTGACTTTATGTGAATATACAATGGACAGCAACAGAAAACCTTACGAAGAAAACGGCAAACCTTCAATCCCAAACAACCAACAACAACCCCAAGAAACAGTTTTTGAAATCAAAGCCATGTTAACAAAGTGCTCCAAGAAGAAATCATGCGAAAACCAAAATGGCTTCGACTGTAGTTTTGACAGTCCAAGATGTAAAGACTCCAGAGGCAGCCACAAATCAAAATGCGAGGAAGATATTGATGATGGTACCTTACAGAACTGCCAGAAAAAGATCTCTATCACGCTGAAAGTCAAAAACAAAGGCTTCACTAACTGTAAAAGTCAATTTATAGTGTTAGACCGTATTTTTGACCCTGTCAGTGATGGCAAAAGGAAATTACTAAACCCTTACGTTCTAAAAATCACCCAGAAACCCGTACTACAGTCGTACGACCTTGTTTTCGAGAATGTCGTCAATTCTGGACCTTTAGAAAAAGTTGTTGGTCAAGAAGATGATACTTTTAAAAGCTGCAATAGTGAATCGTCCAATTCGATGTGCTCGAAATTCAAATATAACAACCAGGAAGTAATTTTATAAGCATTTTTAACGAAAAAAAAACACTATAAATTTTTTTTTAATCATAGGTACCATACAGTTCAGGTTTTTGTTGTTCTTGCAACGATAACCAAGAGAAAAAGCTAGATAGCAACCAGAATATTCTGGAAAACTCCCAGTTTAGTTCCAATATTAATCAAATGTTTGCTCAAAACGAAATAACTACCGCAGAAATGTCTAACGACATTTTGAATTGTTCTTCTGACATTGGAAATGTCAATGAAAACAAAATTCCGGAATTTGGACAGCTGGGAAGCCTCGGAAAAACCGATTTTAATAATTTGAAATCAGTTAGATCTGTACGAGGTAAAATAAGATTCAAAAAACATAATGTTGTTATAAATTTCTCAGAAATCCTGCATCTAATGCTTTAGAACGAGTTTTAGAACCGCCAGAAGGTATTAGAATCTGTTTTAGAACAAGCAAAAGCCATTTTAGAACAAGTTGAAACTTTCTAGAATCGTACGCTCATTGATTAATCTCTTTAGAATCCTCGTTGCGCTTCTAACTGTACCAAAATAGCTTCTAAATTAATTTTAGCGGTTCTAAAATTACTGACACGCTTTAGAATCCGCCTCATACTACTCAATACTACGGTAAAATCGTTAAAACGTTTTAGACCCGCTAAAACACATGTTAGAATTTTTTTAGAACCGCTAAGATCGTCATAACACTTAAGTAAGTAGGTTTAGACACCTTAGCATGGTTTTAGCGGATACTAAAGAAATTTTAAACTAATTTTAGCGTTCTCTGGACCGCTAAAATTCTTTAAAATCTGCTTTAAGGCGCCTTAACATGCCTCAACCAGCTTTAGAACTGCTAATATCCTTTTAGAATCGCTAAAAATATGTTAGAATTTGATCTAGAAGCAACAGAGATGATCTACAGCTACTAAAAACCTGTAAAACATCACCAGACTTTATAAATCTATCTCAGATTAAAATATATTGTTTTCTGAGCGATTTTAGCTGTTCTAAGATTACTAAAATGGCTTAAAATAAATAAATACTCATTGGTTAAGATCTAGTGGTTCCTAATCAGTTTAAAAATTAATTTTAACTATCCTAGAATCGCTAAAATGTTTTAGAAGCGGTTTTATAACGGTTAAAAGCACTCTAGAATCATTTAAACAAGTTTAGATGTGCTAAAACAGACTTAGAATCTCCTCCTAACTGATAAAAATGTCCTAGAGGTACTGAACTGCTGTTAAAACGTCTCCAGAATATATAAAATTACTTTAGACTCAAATAAAACTGTTCTAAAGGAGTTTCTAAATTATATTTAGCGATTCTATTGATTTATGAACAATTTTTAATGGATATTTCTCAGGTAGAATTAAAAGAGGCGGTCAAGATTGCGATAATAAATTTTCTAATGCCAATCACATGTCAATGAATAACAACAACCAAGACAGCGTTCACTGCATGGAATTCTCTGACTTGTGGTACTCTGTGAATAAAATCAAAAACCCTGATATAGAGTATGGCGCGAAAATTGAGATTTTCGAAAAGATATCTAGTAAAAAGTGCCAAGCTTTTTGGAAGGACATCACTGGTGGTCAAGCTATTTTTGTCGGAACGACAAATAGAAGATATGTCAGTGCGGACTGTAAGATTCAAAGTATTTTTTAGTTTGTTTTAATATTACGAGAATAATTTTTCAAGAAATCTGCAAAGTACGACTTTAACGCTTCCTTTAAACACCTGTTTTTTTTTATTTTTAAGTAAATATTTTGGCATACTACCTGGAAAACCACGATGTCGACTATGAGTATGCCCTGGACCCCAAAACCCAGTACCTGTTAATACCAGAGGTAAATGCAAAAGTTCTGGACGTGAGTCAGTACCCAGAGGTACGTGGTGGTCCCACGGAGTACTTGGTTGTACAAAACAGCGATATCGACTTGACGGGAAGATCTTGCAACAAAGCAGGTGTCAATTTTGTATTTCGTACAAAGAACTTCAATTTTAATCACAATAAGACGTTGAAGTTTGACTGTCTAAAATTGGTCCATCTTCTATTTTCTACCATATCTTATTTCTGGATTTTAATGAAGCTTTTTATTTTTCCATATACCGGGTGTGTCTTAAAAGTGGCTCAGCTCTATGACTTTTTTATTTTTTAGATAAAAAAACGAGTTTTGGTATGGCAGTATATGACATAAATTATGATTGGCTGATGTATTCAATTGTTTTTTGTCACTTCCTGTTTCACCGGAAATGACTACAACTTTAGATTTTTAAATGGCACCCTCGGCATTTTTTTACTTTATTCCGTAGAAAATGACACTCTGAGTAGAAGGACATATCACATGTCAACTTTTGACATCTTCGCTGATGGTTTATTTGAAATTGTAACATGCGATTGATAACGACAATTTGACTCGAAATACCAAGTGTGTGGTACCAAATTATTCGTAAAAAATGCTTTTTCCGAGTATGCTAATGAGCCACCCTTGTTCCATTTCAAAAAATTGAAATATGTTGTAGTCGTTTCCGGTAAAACAGGAAGTGACCAAAAACAAGTGAATACGTCAATTAATCCTAATTTATGTCATATACTAAAATACCAAATCTCGGTTTTTTATCTGAAAAAATAAAACAGTTATAGGGGTGAGCCACTTTTGAGACGCACCCGGTATAAGGAATCAGCAATTAGCATAACTCTTGCACAACTTATAGGTGTTGGATATGAAGCATTCGCTCAGCAACCGCACAGATGTGATGCAAAAAGAGATGCATGTCTTTTAAATCAACCGAAAGACATGTGGAAACATGACCACGATCTGGAATCTGAAGGAAAAAAAGGTAGCTATTTCCTGAAAAACTTTGGCAGTCTTCCTGAAAACCCAGTAGTGTTGAAACATCCCAACAACACAAGCCAAGAAGACAACCAAGATAAGAAACTCTACATGTATTACAGCTCCTGTCATACCAGTGTGATCAGTATTGATTTTGGTGATGATTCTAACGTAGTTTTGAGATCTGATACACTTGCCATTATCACAGGTAAGTGAATTATCTCGAAAATGACTATATTTTGAAGAATATAACTGTTTTAGAAGTTTATACAGAAACCATGAACCCCAAAAAGACAGTGATCACAGCCAAAGTACTCAATAGTGGACTATTATCTAGTATATTCTACGTAGGACTCAGTGCATGTCCCTTGGACCTTCCAGCAACCTTTGGAAGCATCATATCCAGGTCTGTGCTGATTCCACCTCAACACCAGCATGTCTTCACCCTGGAAATCTACTGTGAGCTTCCTCTGAAACAATTTTACTGTTCTTTGGAGGTGTTGAACTTGAAACAACAGCTGATAGCTTTGAGGAGGGTCAGATTTCAGCGTAGAGATAGATGTGTATGTGCCTGGTACTGTCAGTGTACTTGTCATGATACAGACTATGGAGCCAAGTGTAGTAAACTGGGAATAGAGCAGTACCATGCCGCTGGATATCAGGGTATTGCTGAAAGTCCGGAGCAATCAGCAATGATTAATATATTTGAATTGAAAGTGGTGTAATGTATTATCAGGGAAGCTACAAGCTCTTGGCTTCGACTATTTAAATGCTTTGGCATATTTTCAACATACAATTTCAACAAATGCAATACAAAAACTCGAAAACTTAGATCTAAAAAGAACTGTTTGTGCTTAACAGTGCAATTCTTAAAAAGGACTATGGAAATAGGCAAAAAACGAGTATTACTCACAAAGATTCAACAACAACACTGTATTATACAAAATAAAGACTGACATTAGGATAATTGTCAAATAATTAACGACAACCTTGCCGAAAACGACGCAATGTGACCAACATAGCGATAATAAAATTCGGTTTAAACTAATTTTTGCAGCTTTAATCTAAATAAAATATCTGTTACAATTATTTGCTCTATAAAGTAAAATGAAGAGTTGATCGGAAAATGTTTTGCGATTACAATAGATACCAACTAATTCAATCATTGCTGGTAGCTCCGTATCATAGAATAATTTAATATTTTACAATATTATTTTTTCTAGGTGGTATGCCTATTCCATCCCAAATAATCGACTTTTCAGCTTACGATGATACGGTTTCGATATTCCTCTACGTCATAATGTTTTTCTGTCTCACCCTGTGGTACATGGGACTGATGAAGGCAGCTTTCGGGTGTTGTTTTCTGCCAATCGGTTTGTGGGGCTTGGATAAAATCCTGGACCTACCGAAAAAAATCAATAAGTCTCAAAATCCAGAGTTTTTTAACTTTTGATTGAATAATTATTATTTGTAGGTACTACGAATCAGAGTTAAAGTACGAGAAAGTAATTTATGATGAGGACGGGTGGCCAGTTCATCCAGAGACAGGCAAAAAAGTCCAAAATATCCCTCCAGCAACTCAGTTTGCCGTAAATATAGTCTTTTTCTTCTTGTTTCCTCTGGCTTTGTGTGTAATGAGCTTAAGGAAAGCTACAGGATCAAAATATTCGCCTAGAGCTTATAGTGATTTGGAGATATGTGCTTGTAGGGCCAGTAAAATTAGTCTGGCTAGTAACTATGGACTGCAAGCTACTTCTAGTAAAGGGCAAACAAAGGGTAGCGAAGGGAAAATGAAATAAGGAAATGTTTAGAATGTGTGGTATGGCGAGGCTGAAAGAATTATTATATTTATTGAATAATTTTATAAGTAACTGAAATAAATGTATTTTTTATACTTTTTGAAGTTGTTTTATAAAGAAAATTTAACATTTTATTGAAAAATTTAGTGCTTAGACTCAATAATAATTTGTTGGTTTTCTTCTACGTCATTTTTATCAAAGCCACCCAGTGATTTTTCTCTTGTATTTTACCCAGTAGTAAAAATGTTCATTGTTTAACTCTCCATCTAATAAAAATATAGTCCTATATATAATACAGGGTGTTCCATTAAAGAAAACAAGCGTAGACATTTGACCATCTAAAGTAAATACCTAATATATTCTTTCAAAAGAGACTTTAGAAATCATTTAACAAGTTGTCACCTTCCTTTTTAACATGTCACCTTCCTGTGACTACAGATTAATAAAAAGACACTTTCTTACAATAAATCACGAAGCCATTATCAAAAATCAGTCCGTGTTGATCTCCAAACATATCTAAATTTTATTTAGTGCTATTTTAGTCGCGTCTTAAGTGGTTTGAAAATCTCAAAAAAGGTCTCTCTATTGGCTTGCGGTGGGAACCCCACAAATAAAAATCCAATTAAGCAGGATGACAAAACAAACGTCTCAAAATCGTGGTTGTAGACGTTGCTTTGGATGCGCCTCAGGCACAATAAACAACCATAAAAAAGCTCTATCAATTTGCCGTCACCCTATAGTGGAAGCACTTTTAGGTTAGTCCATGTGCATATGTAATCTTTAAAGAATCTTGGTATTTTATCACAAAAGCGTCATTCGGAAATTTAGTATAGCAATCTAGTAAAATTACACTAATTAGCTACACTCACCGGTACAAAAAACGCGCACCTTAAAATGTTGAGGTATTTTAAAATTTTATATACAGGGTGGTACGAACTGTATTCAGGAAACTTTGGCAGCATATTCTGCTGATAAAAATAAATAAAACAGTTTTTATAAATGTATGTCCTAAAATGCTTAGTTTCGGAGATACAGGGTGTAGAATTTTCATTTTTATTTCGATTTTTTCCAAATAATTTCTGAAGTAACGTAAATATTTGGATGAAAATTGGTTTCTGGGGGTTTTTGACATGAGAAATTCGATTCTGATGTTAAAATGACTCCTATTTGTAGGGGGCGCCACCTACACGTGTTTTAACTGTTTGAAGAGTAATAACTTTTCGTCCGTACCTGTATAAAACTACATAGTAAAAAAATATACATTTCCCTGACATTTTACGTAAAAAATGTCTCTTGGTAAACCGTTCTGAAGATATTTAGAATGGAAATAGTCAATACATGTCATTATTGACAAAAACTAAACACATTGAGTAGATAGTTATTTGACTGAATTAATAAATTTGGAAAATTTTCTGAAAAATTTTCCAAATTTATTAATTCAGTCAAATAACTATCTACTCAAATTTTTTGAACAATATTTTCGGCGAAAAAATGATGATAAAACAGTTTCTGTTGAACTTTTGGCACAAAAATATTTGAAATTTATGATTTCAGTCTAACATCAGTCAACTATTTACTCAAAATATGTCTAATTTATATCAGTGATGACAGGTATTGGTTTTAGTACGGAGGAAGAGTTATTACTCCTCAAACCAGTTAAAATATATGTCATATTAACATCAAAATCAAATTCCTCATATCAAAAAACTCCCAGACACCAATTTTCATCCAAATATTGACGTTACTTCAGAAATTATTTGGAAAAAATTGAAATAAAAATGTAATTTCTACACCAATCAATTATTGAAATATTTATTTATTACTGTATCTCCGAAACTAAACATTTTAGGACATACATTTATACGAACTTTTTTACTTATTTTTATCTGCAGAATATGCTGCCGAAGTTCCCGGAATACAGTTCGGACCACCCTGTATATATTATTTTTTGATAGTAGGCTATGTGAAGATCCATCAGCCCTTGTACTATAATTTCCCAATTCACACCCTCTATTTGATAAATCCCCTACTCTCTGTCCATTATACACCCCACCCCCCTGAAAACCGATGTTTTGACTACTGTTTCAGCCTGCGTAATCGTCTGAATAAACCCTAAACCATCAATACATAGACACTCTATTTTAGACATACGTTCGGTAATCAACATACTTTTCGAAATTAGGATTTGGAAATGATCCTCAAAGTTTTGAACTGATATCATAAAAAGCAAATCGTTTATTATTGCTTCAAGATAATATTGCCCACAATCGTGTCTAGTGCGTCAATGGTCTAAGTTTTTTAAAACCCTCGATTAAGTGTATCTATCCGTTTGCATCTGTATTTGTGTTAGGGCGTCAGCCTAATCGGAAGAGAAGCTTATAAGCATTTTTAGAAGCATTCGGCAGTGCTACGGCAGTGTCAATTAGTATACCCTAAGAGCCTGTAAATTTGATTGCCTTTTTTTCGGAAGCGTTAAAAAGCCACTTCATCAAAGTCCCAAAAAAGCTAAATAAAGTTTATATGTGTATCTGTATACAGGGTGGTCTCTTTTATAAGTAAGGTATAAAGACTGTGGAACCGCTTTTGCTATTTCACTTTCCGGCCCCTGGATATGTCATTCTATTAAGAGTGTCATTTTCTATCATAGATAAAAGACTTATAATATTAAATAGATAGGCAACTTATAATACATTTCAATTTTATTATACAAGGGTGCCTCTGATAGTCAGAGGAAGAATTACTAAGGGAAGAGAGGGGTGCGATAATAATATAATAATAATAATAATATAATCCCCTATAATTTTATATATAAAATGACAGCAATCTTCATTTCATAGCCATCGCTGACGCCGTTTTTATTCGATCATACGGTATGAAGACATTATAAATTTTGATTTCCTTGAGAGTGTCAAAATATAAAATAAGTATACGTTTTTTGCGGTATAAATGTCTGTAACTTTTTTTTATACTAATACAGAAAAAGAAAGTTAAAGAAGTTTAATTTCTTCACAGCTATAAGAGACTGTAGACCTGAGTATATGGTTTTAATTTTAACCTTGTTGTAAAACACGAAGGTTTTCTCATATATACAAAGCATATGGAAACAGAAAAACGCAAAATAATTTCTTACTTCGCAACTTTTATTTATCGCTTTATTATAAACTACTGAGTACTACTTATACTGGGTACACCCTGTATGCTGAAACTTCTGGTCTTGTCAAAGGCGCCGCACACAGCCTATGTAACAAAGGAATATGTTAAGAGCTCGTGATATATCTTTAAGTGATTCTTTCTAAAAGTGCTTGGAGTGGTAATGACACTTTTTTTTTCTTTAATTCAAATGTTTTTACGTTACTCTCTTTTTTTAATATCCAAAGTTAAATAACCACGTTATTTTCAAGTTATTTTAATTCTATAATCTACTGAAGCCCTGTTAAAAACGTCGTAAGTTCGGAGAAACTTCTTCAAATGTCTTAAGACCGCAGCAGGATTTCTATACTAATATAAGTTCTTGAGTTCCGTTTTTAGTTGGTGTTAGATCAGAACGGTTCTAGTCCCGTTCCTTTTCTAGCTAGATATCCCTTGGAAAACTTTGTATAAAATTGTTTTTAAACTAAAATACCACTATACAGGGTTGTTCACCACATACGACACGGAGTATTGTAGCTAAACGATGAGATTTTTTCAAATTGTAAATTTTGTGTTCGATGAAGGACTATTAGAGGTACAATTTAAAATAATTTTACAAGATACAGAGTGTCCCAAAGAAGTAAAAAATATCAAAATTGTATTTTTTTAAATGGAACACCCTGTATATTATTACATTTTTAGTTTCTACCATTAAAATAAAGGTAAATTTGATTAAAGTTTATTACAGTTAAACCATACCGTTTTCGAAATATTTTCAATTTTGTGAAATTGCAGCAAAAATATTAAGGCTTCATTTCTCCAAGGGTATCAAAGTTTTTAATACTAAATATTTACTGAAGTTTATTTATTGATCAGTTATTGTGTTGCATTAATAAAAATAATAGTAACTTATACAGAGTGTCTAAAAATTTATTGTAAATAATTATTAGCTTTAAACGGCAATAACTTGTTTGATTTAAATGGAACACCCTGTAAATTTTATGAGAATCAAATGCACAATTTAATTGTCTATCAAATTGTATTATACCATTTTTTACCTATCTCTTTAAGTTTCCGTAGAAAATACATTTTCTTGTAATTTAGAACTTATTTATCAATATACCCATGGAATATTGACATTTTAGATTATTCTTAAAGATGTAGGTACCAAATTTTTAAAGAGTACAGATACTAATATTGTCGATATAATTCGTTTATTTCATTAAAAAATAAAAAAAAAACTGTTTAAATATTTGTTAAAGAGAACCAATTAATATGATTCAAGTATTCAAACTACATGAACTGACTGTTTGCGTTGATTAATAATAATTGCCCCAAATACTAAAAAACTGAGTTTTGTATGTGTATTAGACAGTGTGGTAAAAAGTAACACCTTAAAAATGATATTTAATTTTTTAATAAATGCTTATTTATAACAACAGAGACGATCATTTTGATAACTTATTATTATATTGATTTCTGACTCAAATCCACATTTATTTAGAATAATTTATTAACGAACACAATTAAGTATGTAATTAATTAGTGTATGGGCGGAAATAATGGTGTTATATTTAATTAATGGTATATACTTTTATAAAGATTTAAATAGTTTTCTTTTTGCATACAAATGGGCTAGTAATATTATCGTTTTGTTAAAATCGATAATATTACTAGCCTGTACATTTTGTAAATTTGTTGCTTTAAAAACAATCTAAAATGTCAATATTCCATGGGTATATTGATAAATGAGGTCTAAATTATATGAAAATGCATTTTCTACAAAACCTTGAAGGGATAGGTAAAAAATGGTATAACACAATTTGATAGACAATTAAATTGTACATCTGATTCTCCCAAAATATACAGGGCGTTCCATTTAAATGAAAGAAGTTATTGGCGTTTAAAGCTAGAAATTATTTAAAATAAATTTTTAGACATTCTGTATAAGGTAGTATTATTTTTATTATT